TCTATCTATCTATCTATCTATCTATCTATCTATCTATCTATCTATCTTCATCATCATTATCTATCTATCTATCTATCTATCTATCTATCTATCTTAACCTAAAATCAGAAGGAATCTGATTTTCTGACTAACACATTTCATTAAAAGATAAGAGCTATTATGAGCTGTAGTTCATTTCATCAGAGACATAGGTGGATCTATGTACCTGATGAAATGAGCTGCAGGTTAGAAAAGCTAATGTCTTTTGTTAAAAATTTGTTAGTCAGAAAAGAAGGGCTATCAGATTCCTCCTGATCACTGGAACAAAAGGAGCTTACTCTGATTTTTGTAAGAGCTGTGGTGGCGCGGTGGATAGAATGCAGTATTGCAGGCAAACTCTGGCCACAGCCAGGAATTCAATCCTGATGGGCTTGAGGTTGACTCAACTTTCCATTCTTCCGAGGTCAGTAAAATGAAGACCCAGATTGTTGGGAGCAATCTGTAACCACTTAGAGGGGGAGTGTAAAGCACTGTGAAGCGGAATATAAGTCTAAGTGCTAATGCTATTTTTGTTTAAGGAAAGGGAACCATATAACATTTGAGTAATACGATTTGTTTTGGTTGTGTAAGCTGGTGGGGATGAATTATATTTTTCTCCCAAAAACTCACAACAACATTACAGTTCCGTGACGACCTTTTCATGGAGGTTCAGTGTTTTTCTCCCCTCTTCCATGCCAAATACTTAGTCAAGCTACAAGGCTGCTGGCAGAACCACCAAGCTTTATAATAAAGGAGCTAATATTTGAGTTAATATTTTTTTATGGAGATCCAAAACCTTGCAATATGGTATTCGGAACACTTTAATGTCTGAGGAAAATTCTTTTTGGATTAAATTTCCTCAACTGTTCTTTGCTTTTACTTTCAACACCAGACCCATATGTCAAAGTGCAACTTATTCTGAACAAAAAGAAATGGAAGAAAAAGAAGACAAGTGTGAAGAAAAATACATTAAGCCCCTACTTCAATGAAGCGTTTGTTTTTGAAGTGCCTTTCAACCTGATCCAGGTAGGCCCAGGAGAAGCCATTTCAGAGCAGAACCAGGTTACTGGAGAACAAAATAATCTCTAGAAGCATCATTGCTTTTGCAGAAGTTTTTGAGCTCACCTTACTTAAGCCTGCTGTAAAAATGTATCTTCTTATGCAGTCCTTGCTTAATGACTGCCCTGTTTACAAATGTTTGACGTTACAATGGCACTGGAAAAGTAACTTTAGGACTGTTCCTTGCATTTATAACCATTGCAGTGGTCATGTGATCACTATTTCCCTGATTCACAGCTAGCTTCCATCAAGCAGAGCCGATGGAGAAGCCAGCAGTAAAATTGCAAGTCGTGATCACCTCATGTCTTGCTTAGCTATTATGGGTGCTTTGCTTAGCAGTCATGATGGATGTCTTGTTGCAGTCATGTGATGTCTTGCTTAATGACCACATGACTTAGCAATGGAAATTCTGATCTCAATAACAATCGTTAAATGAGGAATACTTGTACTGAAGTCTGTTTTGGTTCTTATTGTGACTTCATTCCTGCTACTGTGCTTCTCTTTTGCTACAAGAAGCTATTAACTAAAGTAAATTAACATAATAACTAAGAAAGAAAGAAAAATATCGACACCATATCTAATACTTACCATAATGGTGTCAAATAGGGTTAGAGGAGTCTGCTCTTTTGACATCTTGCAGTAACACTGTAAGTGTTATTTTGCCAGGGTGCATCGCAAGACATCGTGGAAAGTTTAAAGTCCTTATCCATGAATCTTTATTATGCAGCTCTTTTAAGCAGGATTTGGGCAGACATTTGAGAAATAATAATGTATGTGAGCACAAAAGAGGGACATAAAGTGACAAAAACTATAATGTTAAAAAGGCATGAACTTCCTGAAATGTTCTCCATGCAGAGAACACCTTGTAAGGAGATATGAGATTTCTTTGTTTGCATTGTAAAAACCATCTTTCTCCCTTGTTTTCCCTTCCTTTTTGTCTTCTCATCTCTCTGCTTTGTAATTTTCATTCTAGAATGTAGATCTGGTGATCTCAGTCTGGGATCGTGACAAAGTGACCAAGGATGACCAGATTGGAAAGCTGTTTCTCAGCTGCCGAGCTACAGGGAACCAGTTGCGCCACTGGTCAGATATGCTGGCTAATCCTCGCAGGCCTATAGCACAGTGGCACAGTCTGCAGCCTGTGGAAGTCATTGACAAAACTCTGGGACTGAAGACACGCTTCAAGCTGCCACTACCCACCAGCTAACCCACCCACTTCAAACAGTTCTCTCTATGCTCCTCCACTCTGGAAGGAAACCCACAGCTATTATTTACAAAGGAAGACCTGATAGCACAAATCACCACATCAGGTTCAGTTGAACATATAGCTGTAATTATTCTAGACAAGGGGAGGCAAGGCAAGGCGTTATGCCACTGTGTCCCACACTTAGGTAACCAGCAGTTATCTCCAGGCATCCTCCCATCAGGATCATTCTTCTGAAGAGGATTTGAACTACTGCACAGGTCTCTTTATTGATGTTCTCTGGGGCTGGAGAAGATAAGGAAGCAAGAGAATGACAAGTTGGCCAAAGTGGGAGATGAAAAACCAGTGCACCAACCTGCGCACTTCCCTTTTAATGTCTTTAACATGGAGGCTGAAAAAACCCACTGCCTGTGTAAATTGGGATGGTTGGGTGGGAAAGAATGGCAAAGCCTTTACTGCACTTTAGGAAGAAGGGTGGTATGGAAAATTGTCCAACCCATAGTGTCAGAGCAAACCTAGCAAAATAGCAGAACTGGAAGTGAATCAACTCATCAGCTGATGATTTCCCTAAGTCTAAAGGTATTCTGGAGACACAGAGATGTGGGGCCAATCTTAGATCCAATCTTGTAAATCCAACAAAAATTGACATGTTCAACAATGGTATGTACTGCACTATCATGGATCAAATCTATTGCTTTACTTTGATGAGAAAAAAAAAACATGTAGCCCTTCAAAATCAAGCTATTAACATATCAGTATATGGACTTGTGTGGGTTAGGTTTTTTTCCTCTAGATTTAAGGAGAAAACAAAACTTGAAAATAACCGTGGTTAGAGTTGTGCCCCCGTCCTTTATTAAATATTTTAAAAATAATTTACTTTGCCATTCAAGATATGTGTGCAGTCATTTATAAATGTTTCCTTTGGCATTGCTAGCAGCTCTTTGTGTGAGTGTGTGAGTGTGTGTGTGTGTGTGTGTGTGTGTGTAAGCTTAAAAAAGGGTTCAGATGAAACAAATGCAAATAATGATTGTATATATGTAATGAATAATTTAAATTGTGGATTCTTTGTTCTCAAGGATCAAAAGAAAGGCTACCATTCTATCTCTTTAGGGATGCACCAATGCCCCCTTGCGTGATGGGATCCTTCAAGATGGCAGAAATACTAATTTCTCATTATGTTTGCACCTGACACAAAGCCTTACTCCCATTGTGCATTTACATGACATACATGTTTTCTTCTTCTTAGAAGAAGTAATAATTAAAGAGTAATAATTAAAAATGATAGCAAACCACAGCCAGTAAAACAAACTAACTGATCTTTTTAAAAGAATAGCTGTATATTATTCTATCATACCCCTTATCTTATACTTTATCTCAAGGATCCCTGCTGGGTTTGTGGTTTCCCTGTTGATATTTGCAATGGCCTCTTTGTATCTATTGGTGCAATACAACTGCAAAGAAGTTCTTTTTCTGTGTTTCAAAATCTGGTTGCTGCTGTGGGAAGCAGTGAGCTTCTGTCACACACTCCAACTCCTGCCAACCCAGCAGTTTGAAGGCGGGAGACCGCAAGTAGATAGATGGGTACCAACCACTTTGATGGGCAATTTAATTTGGACATGAAAGGGCCCCCCAATTAGGCATTCCCTGGACAATGGTCATGTCACTTTTCAATCCTTTCAACCCAGAAGTGCTTTTGTACTCCTGACATGAATTTAGTACTAGTAGCGTCCTATAGATATGAGATATGGGACATGATATACCAGATGGGGCATCACATGGCAAACACTACATTGAATAACAAAATCAGCCACACTAGCCAATTCTGTGGAAGAGCTGATCCTTTTATCTACTCTATATTAGCTGAGGTTATCTATCTTTATCCATCCTTTATTAGCTGAGGTTGCTTGATTTAACCAGGCACTCTAGGAAAAGCAACAGGAAGCAAAGCAGAAGCAAAACAAAACAGCTAAACATTGTGCTTTTAAAACTAGGTGACATTTGGATTGTTGCAAGTAATTCATGCTTAGAATTCTAAGAAAAAGCATTTGCATCACTATAATACGCAGACATCTCCTGCTTCATGAGACAATCAAACTTCTTCGGAAAGCTAGTCTGCAAATAGGCAGAGAGGCATTCAAGAATACAAGATTTCTGATAAAGAGGTTTCTTGTAGAAAAATAAATGAAGGCATTACATCTTGCAGAAAAATTAATGAAGCCATTACAAAACAATTCCAGGGAGTGCAGGTTATCAAAAGTAAATCCTATTGATAAAGAAACCCAATTTCGCATTCTTTTCAATGTAACGAGGTAGAAGCCATTTCTTTGAGGGCAGAGGGATGATTTCCACAAGCACATAAAAGACAGACATTCCTTCAGGATATTTGGCTCCCGTTCCCACAGGTGCCATTTATGACCAGATGAGAACTTGCTGCAAAATATCAAAGAGTCTTGACTTTCATGGTCGGTTCTCAAATTGAACTCCACAATTAAAGCACCTTTGGTGTTCAGCCTTTGTTAAAATATAAGCTCTGTTGATTTCAATTACATACAGTTGTTTTTCATTTAGTGGGAACATTGAGACTTGTATATACATAGGTTTTTAGCTCCATTATATGAGACAGCTAAGTTTGACTACATAGCTTAGTTACCAAACAAATCTTGAATATATATGCAAAAGGTAAGCATATACATACATGCATACACATAAACATATATATGAAATATATTAAAAAGTAAAGATATATACCCTTATCAAGCAAGAAGTCAGTACAATGTTCAAATGGTCAAAATTTACCACCGCCTACTGAGAAAAATGTGAATGTGTTTATGAACCTCAAGGCATTGTCTTACCGAGATTGATGTCACCATCAAATGTGCTGCCATACAGATATTTTAATAATTTCCACTATTCATATAACTTAAATATGGATATTCTAGCCACTCACCCTGCCAATCAGGTAAAACAAGTCGGATATCAAAGGAGTTATTGTAATTAAAATACAGTGAAAGCAGCCTTGTTTTTAAATTACTTTAATCATTCTGCACAACAGAATTTGGAAGCTGATCTGTTTTGCTCAATGATTTCAGTTGTTGTAAGTTTTATAGCCTTAAATAAGAATGAATAAATGAAGTTCCAGAATTCAGAATATAGAATCCGTTGCATTAAAACTCATTGGGTGAAGCCTTAAGTTGAAAAAGAAATGAGCCAATGCAAAGCAGGAAATGAGCAAAGGAAATGAGCCAATGCAAATCAGGTCCTCTGTGGGACACCTAGAAGCAAAGATGTCCTTTTTGGGAGCCCTTCTCCAGTGACTATTGTAACAGCATGTGGAAATAACCTTGAGATACATGGGGTAGAGCCAGAGCCAGGGCAACAGTTCTATACGTGACACTAAGCCTGCAAAAGGAATGTGGGCATGGCAAGCATTTCAGAAGGCACCCTCCATAGAATCTTGGACTGTAAAAGTGGGGGAGGGAAGAGATGTATTTTCAGACTTGCAAGTTTCAGGGAGTGTAACCTTACAATAAAGTTAGAGCTAGTACTTCTGGATGTACATCTTGTTTGGACAATCCCGCAAGGCTGAGAACTATCACTCTTATGGGTCATTCACTGCTACCTGAGTACAGAAAGAGCTGAATTTGTCCCTATCTCAATCTCAGTGCACCCCACACCTTTACTACTATATATGTTTGAGTTTCAATTCAGAACTGTTATTTCCCAATCTGAGCTGCTATAAACTCTTCTTCAGTACTTTGTTTTATTTTAACAGCAGCCTCAGCTCCCACTGGCTTCAATGCCAGGCATGTCTGTTCTCCTCCAGTGGTTGGCCACTGTTCTGGGTATTGGCCATTTCATCCTGAATTATCAGACCTATGTTTTCTGATGCTTAGCAGGAGATCAAGTGCTAGCCTGTTAAGAATAGAATAGAACAGAATTGAATTGAATTCTTTATTGGCTAATGTGATTGGACACACAAGAAATTTGTCTTGGTGCATATGCTCTCGGTGTACATAAAAAAGATACATTCATCAAGAGTCAAGAATCATCAGGTACAACACTTAATAATAGTCATAGGGTACAACAAGCAATCAAATCATACTAGGAAACAGTCAATATAAATCATAAGAATACAAGTGACAAAGTTACAGTCATACAGTCACAAGTAAGGGGGGATAAGGAGTGATGAGATTAATAATAATAGTAATGCAGACTTTGTAAATAGTTGGACAGTCTTGAGGGAATTATTTGTTTAGCAGAGTGATGGTGTTCGGGGAAAAAACTGCCCTGCTCTAGTTCAGGTTAAGTCAATGGACTATCCTTAAATTTAAAAACGCAACTTCATTCAACCAGTGGTGGGATTTAAAATATTTTACTACTGGTTCTGTGGGCGTGGCTTGGTGGGCATGGCATGGCTTGGTGGGTGTGGCTTGGTGGGTTTGGCAGGGGAAGGATACTGTAAAATCTCCATTCCCACCCCACTTCAGGGGAAGGATATTGCAAAATCTCCATTCCCTCCCCACTCCTGGGGAAAGATTACCACAGGTTCTCTGAACTACTCAAAATTTCCACTACCGGTTCTCCAGAACTGGCCAGAACCTGCTGAATACCAACTCTGCATTCATTTCTTATCTTTTCAATTTCTATCCAGGCTGAGTAAAGCAAACCTTTGCTTTTCCAACCCTTTTCTTGCAAAACTTCTTTTCTTTAATTTTTTAAAAAAATATCTTTAAGTTGCAAAATAAGTACACTGCCACTTCGTTTCTACAAAGGAAGTGAGGAACATAAAAACAATTGTTCCTTTTGCATTGATTATTGTAGGATTGGAGCTTTGATGGCATCATCGGGGGAGGGAGGAAAGGAAGGGTCAAAGGAGATAATTGAGAAGGGGCTACAAGTATCCACATGTGAAACATCTGGTAAAGTCAAGGAAAAGATTGGGGACTAGTGAGAAGGAAAACCAAAGCAACGGTTAAGACTTGTGGTGGCTGAAGTCCTGATTTAGTCCAGTTCTGTTGTCAACCCATTGCGATTTGGACGAGCATTTTCAGTTGGTTTTAGAAGCAGTAGCAACATAGAAACAAGCAGCTTTAACTGCAGTGCAGAATTGCCTTATGTTCACATACTTACTGAACCATAAATTATCCAGCTAAACTTGAGCAGAGTGAATTGTGCAAAGCTGCCCACCTTTTTATGGTTGAGTATATTGTGAAAACCTTGGGGAAAATTGAGTAACTTGGGGTTAAGTTCATGAGTTAGCATGTTGAATGGTTTATACAGCAACAGCCTGTCTGTTCCCAGGCTAGTTTTTTTGGGTGGCAACTCAAGCTAAATTCTGTACCAGCTGGCTCCCTGTAAGATGGATCTTGTTTGCAAAATAATGTACTTTTAAATTAACAAGTGACTTCTATAACTGGTAGGGATGCACCCTTTTAAGGAGAGCAATTTGGCAGAGCCACGAGACACACTGGAAGAGGCTAGAGTTTTTCATTTTGCTTCAAGTTTTGTGGCTTTTCAAGCGTATAAACCCTATTTAAGAATGTAAAGTATAGTTTTTTTGCAAATGTTTATATTTCTTGCTCCAAAATGACAGGATGCTACAAAGTCAAGGGTAGCCATTCAGATACAAAAAAATGAATTTTAAAACCCACAAACTACCTAAAACATACAAGGAATAGAGTTTTCTTATGGCTCCCCAAACTTGGAATCAGTGATAATCCCCAACTCATCTGAAGATTTTATGGTTTCATCAGACATTCTTCTTTTTGTTTAAACTTTTTGAGCATTGTGTTGTGATTAGAGTTTGCTTAATTGTCTTTTCTTTTAAATCCAGGTCAGC